CGACGGTTGCACTGTCAACAAGGAAGGTAAAGTTGTTACCTCATCTGGTGAAGTCGTCGGTCGATTGGTATCTGGTGATGCCAACGTTCTCTTCGGTCGCGCTGTTGATGATGATGGCGAGATTGTTGACAAGAACGGTAACGTTCTTGGTAGAGCTGAGAGATGGAAAGAGGAGGAAGTCCAAAAGGATGTCAGCCCAATGGCTGGCCGCAAGGTTAACAAGGAGGGTAATGTTGTTGATGAGAACGGTGATATCATTGGTAAATTGACAACTGGTGATCTCAAGCTCTGTGCAGGCAAGAAGATTGATGATGACGGAGACGTTGTCGATCAAAAGGGTAACTCACTCGGACACGTGACTCTTCTCGAGGATATCGTCGAAGATGAACCCGAGCCAGAACCAGAGGCAGAGCCAGAACCAGAGGTAGAAGAACCTGAAGCCGAGCCAGAAGAGACTGAAGAAGAGAGGAAGAAGAGAGAGGAAGCCGAACTCGATGAAAAGATTTGTGGTCAGATGACCTACTGCGTTGAAGATGCTCTTGGCAAGATCAAGCCAGTTCTGAAACAGATCATTTCACACATCGACAAAGCCGAGCGTACACCAAAGGACGAGCTTGATGAAGAGGACCTTGTCAACAAGGTCAAGCCATTGATCGAAGAAGGTGGTCGTATTCTTTCTGAGGCTAATTCCTCCATCCGTGCTCTTGACCCTGGTGGAAGACTTGCTTCTCAAGCCAAGGCTAAGACAGCAGCTCATGAAGCAACCCCAGCAGAATATCATCTTGCTGATTGTCTCAAAGAGGTATGTTTTCTCCATATGTGATACGCTTATTACACGAACGTCTACTAATCATTATTTATAGCTTACCGGCACTGTCAGTGAGACCATCGAGAATGCCAAGAGAAAGATCGAAGGCATGCCACACGCCAAGAAAGAAATCAACCCTCTATGGAACCTCCTTTCGGAGCCACTTGCTCAAATTCTCGCCGCTGTTGGCTTGCTTTTGAGTGGTGTTCTCGGATTAGTTGGTAAATTGGTAAGTTATCACGTGAACTCATTTCCCCCTTTCCTGAACAAATGCTAACAACTTTTACAGTTGAGCGGACTTGGTCTTGGAGGCTTGCTTGACAACCTTCTCGGAGGTCTTGGTCTTAAGGGACTGTTGAACGGCCTAGGACTTGGAATGGTGGTTGATTCCATCACTGGCAAGAAGAAGAAATAAATGGTTTGACGAATTTTACGAGCGGGTTTGCTTTACAAATTACTTCAAAAGGTACATGTATTTTATAGCGGTCTTGGATATTGGGAATATCGGTCTATAATTTCTTTTATCCTTAATGTTTAGCGGACTTTTTGGTTCTTCCTGTATTTTAGCAAAAATTTACAATGATGTTCACAAAGCTTGAGGTGTTTGAGATGGATTTGTTGTGAGATTTCTTCGATCTATTTTCAAGTCAGTAATAATGATAAATATAAAACCTTGGTAATCCCGATTTCGAATTTGAATTGAAATGTTGGCAACTCCTAAATGGTTTGCAATGGGCTGATTTGCAATTCACGTCGCCTTCGTGTTTTCCGTGTTCGCCAAGATGGTAAAATCACGTGCATTGGCAATAATATCGCCTTCCTTTATTGTCCATACCTTCGTTCTCACCCCGCGTCTATCGATGAAAATCCCATGACCGTCAAAGTGAGGACAGCGATATCCCTTGTATATCGAGCTGAAAATGACGTATATGGCGGTAAGGATAGATAAAACTCTATGAGATCATCCTTGAACAAATGCATGTGAATGTGAAAGTTTAAAACCCTGAATTGGTGGTTTGCGGTTTCCATGATTTCTAGTGGCTTTCTCACACTAACAACCTCACAGCCATCTATGAAGCAAGATGATCATATCCATATTAATACTTGGTACCCCATACTGTCGTGGCTGATTACTTTCTTCATGAAATTTTATTAGTAGTTCATCGTACGACTTCACAATGAAGCGAACACTACTCCTATGTTTTATCCATGGGTTCAAGGGTAATGGAGAGACCTTTTATACGTTCCCTCAGGTAAGCCAAAACAATCCGTAGTTTGGATAAAGGTATTGACCCTCGAGATAGAACCTTCAGAAAAGTGTAGCAGACAAGCTACCAGATGATGATGTTGAACTTCTTATATATCCAAAATATGAGACGAGAGGTGACCTGCTGGACAGTACTGATCGATTTCTTGAATGGTATGTGACAATAACTAGAGCATCTGGACTTTGTTTTAACCAACTCGATTTCTTAGGCTGAAAGCAAAAGTTATGGAAGTTCGGAAAGAGAAGACCGAAGCTCCATGGCCACCAAATGATAGATCTGTAGGAGTCATCTTGGTTGCACATTCAATGGGGTAAGAACCAGTTCTATCACTATAGTCCTGTATTTGGTACTGATAATCTATTCAGAGGGTTTGTAGCATCCGATGCACTATTCTCCATTCTTAATGATCATCATGATAAGGAGGATGAGGACTCCAATCATGTCATATTCCCTCTTATCCAAGGAATTCTCGCTTTCGATACCCCTTACAATGGTCTCGCTCGTTCTATGTTTGTCTATGGTGCCTTTTCACAATATAATAAAGTTAGAGCTGAATCTTTTCCGATTTGATACGTACTAACTTTGACGCAGGTTAGCAACATCTGGAATGTAATGTCAGCGGCATCAGCTGGCCTTATCAGTGCTAGATCTTTGGGAACCATGACTGCAAAACAAGCTGCTAGACAAGCGGGGAGCTCTTTGACAGCTACCACCAGAACCGCAAGTCCGGGATGGAAGATCTGGGAGGGAATCGCAGTAAAGTCCGGTGTTGTAGGAGCAATTGCGGCCGGCGGTGTAGCGGCGTACAGAAATCGCGAGACGATCATCTCAGGCGTCAAGAATTTGAACAAGAACTCTCTCAAGGATGGAGCGGAGCAAGGTTACGATGCATTGGGACAGGGGCTCGCATACATCAATCGAGATAGTGTCGGTCAATCTTTTGCATGGTTGTCAAGCCATCTTAAGTTTGTAGGTGCTTTGATGAGACAAAAAGAGATGGTCCAGCGACTCGAAAGACTGTCCAAGATTGAAGGAGTTGGAATCAGAAATTGCTATACTTCATTAGGGGAAAACGGATATTGGACAGGTGGATATTTTGTTCCGGAGAGAACTTTCTCTGCAATACCTGCATCAGGACAAAAGTCTCACGATCTTTTTATTCGAACTGTTAATGGGGCAGTCGAGGATGAAGTTCAAGCTCATATGAGTATGTTCAAACCCCAAACCAACGATAATTATGATGCAATCTCGCAACAAGCAAGAGATCTAGTCGTTGAATGGTTTCAAGCCGACAAAAAACTCGTGGATATTCCTCCACCGCCAGAGCCTTCTCCAGATGCTACACAGGCGAAAGATGCTAAAGATGTGCAGACAGACGAAAGTGAGATGACAACGGCTACAGACTCTGAGTCGATCCCGAACTTAGACATGGACGGAGTCGACGACTCACCACTTGATATTGTGGCCGCAGCTGCCGCGATTCCACTGCCAGATATCCAAGAAAATGATCTTGATAAAAAGCAGCGAGAATCGTATCTTCAAAGTCTTTACCGGATTTCTCAGAGGGCAGGATCCGGTGTATCTGGATACGCATCTGCTGCAGGATCTGGTCTCACTGGCGCAGCTTCAACAGGCTTAAAGGCCGGAGCAGCTATTCCCACTTACGCATCCAAAGGTGTTAGCTCTTTCTGGAGCTCAAACAAGGCCAAGAAGACAGAGGCTGATGGACCCGTGGAGGAGGAAGAACCAAGTGAATCTGTAACTATTGATGCCGATGATGACGTGAGAACAGAAAATAAGAAGGGATCTGTATGGTCATTTGGTTCGTTGTTTTCCTCGAAGAAGAAAGGAGAAGAGGCTGAGGAGGCTGTTGATGAGAATGATGGTAGAATGGATGAGTCGAAAGTGGATAATCATAGTGAGTTTAGTCGATTAATCACGACATGGTCAATAATCCCCTAACTTTTCTTAGGGACTCAACTGAACTGATTGATTTTGGTTTCTCAATGTTTGGAATTACGAGTATACGATTATGTAGCATTGATTTCTTGTAATGATATCTTATAATTTGGCAATTCATCATTAGTTCCGTTACGCCCAATTGAAAAAGGGGCCTTTCGACGGTGTCATTGACCCTCTAATCATTATGTTAGTGAGTATTAGAGTTGATGCAAGGTTGGGTTTAATAAGGTTGCCATGGTGGGAATCCACAGAGTATGCTTTACATAGTGTGGGATCTTATCTTATCTTATCTTATCGACATCTTCATTAGCTCAATATAATACTTGCATTTAAGATTGTCTCGGACCTCGGATATACTTTGCTCATAGAGTGCTCCCTCTCTTGGAATTAACTTGACATTCAATCACGAAATGAAGATTTTCATGCTGTTTGCCATTTCATTCTTCAGCTACCTACTCTCCCTTAAAGCCATTCGACGAAGGGCATGATAGATGATGATTAGCAATAACATCATTTACTCGCTACATTTGCAAGGTTGCAATTGGTAAGGCACACAAACGTCGCTCGCTATGCAAATCGGAGGCGTTTGGATTGTCCACATCTCCACACGGTTATGGAGTCACTAATTAATGAGACGGCAGTGAAGAGTAATCGAATACTAATCGAAGATTTGATGGGCTTCACTGGTCAGTAGAACTCTTATTCCACTACCTTGCCTCGGTCGAGACGCGTGCGCTCAATTGGGCTCGTCGCGCATTGCATATATCATTGGTGCATCTACAAATCGAACTGTTTGGCATATTCAACCTATTTCCCACAAGACAGTTCAGCTGGATATTGGTTCCTGGATAGAATAGCAAGATGTTCATCTCATTCCTTTTCTAACTACCCTTCTCAATTCTCCTCTGCATTTTGAGTCGACGGGCAGCTTGTCACATTGAACCCCAAGCTTAACAGTCGTGATGGATTTGCTTAAAGTGCTACCCATAGGAACAGTTTATTGTGCATCTTCGGAATGGAACAATTTGTCAAATGTTGCGGAATCAATTGTGAGTGTTCATTTCATACAACATAAATCCATGATGCTGATTTGAGGTAATAGCATCTCAAGGATGGCAACAGAGATACTTTTCGCGATGATTGCCATTCTGGGCATTACGATGGAGTGTTAGTAATAATAAGATGTGAAGATGCTTACAAAGTACGTGAGCTTGCATTTCAGTCGACATGGGCTTACAGAAATAGTACACTCGTCGTTTTGACACCGATCTTATTTAATATTTGCCAAAATTGGTCAGATTAATATGTGCTCCTCAGGCTGGCTACGATCAACTTGATATCAATGCCTGCACTATTAAAAGTAGAAAAGGTAGTAAAGTGGATTCTTCGAGCGAGTTTTGACGTATTTTTACAGGTATCGCCGTCTCAAACTCCCCAGCGAATATTGGTAATGCAACAGCTGATGCTACTATGTACCTCTTGCTTGATTCTCTACGCCGATCATGGATTTCTTCTTTGTCCATTAGAAATGGTAAATGGCGTGGGCATGCTGGGCTAGGACATGATCCGGAAGGCAAAGTTCTGGGGATACTCGGCATGGGCAATATTGGTAGTGTAGTAGCCAAACGTGCCGCAGCGTTTGACATGCATATTCAATATTACAACCAAAATCCTCTTCCCGTGGAAAGGACACCTCCAGGCACCAAATAAGTTTCCTTTCAAGACCTTCTCCGGACAAGCGATATCATTTCAGTACACCTTCCACTGTCGGATGACACTAGGTACACGCTCGGCTCCAACGAATTTGCACAAATGAAGGACGGAGTCATTCTGATTAATACTTCGCGTGGGCCTATAATTGATAAGCAAGCTTTGATCGACGCCCTCGAGTCTGGTAAACTATACATCGCTGGTCTGGGTGTTTTTGAGAATGAGCCTCAAGTACATCCCAAGCTACTAGCAAATGAGAATGCTGTCCTGACTACGCACATGGCTACTGGCACTGTCGAAACAATTGTAAGGCACCATTACTTTCAATTCCCTTCTTCAACTAACGAAAACTAGCACAAATCAGAAGCCCTTGCTATGTCTATTGTTCGGCACGCACTTCAGCATGGAAATTTATTGACCCAAGTCCGTGAACAACGAGCTGAACAAACCCCTTGAGTCTGTGAAAATATTTGGTGGCTTGCAGCTGATTGCCGTATGAGAAAAGCTTGAATATCGGCACAGCTATTAATTATTAGTGGTTTCTTCGTATTTTTTGCAAGGTAAAAACAAACAAGGTAGTCGAATGAAGAAATGACTTCCAACAAAAGTGCATGATACGAGGCTCTGTGCAGTTTGTAAGACCATAATTATTCAGGCTGAATTGACGCACCTGCAAAAGAACCAATTTCTCTGACAAATGGTAACCACCTATGGTAGTATTCAATGTTGCTTATTCTAGATCCTAGGGTCATCGCGAAATCTTCGGTACAAGGCCATAAATCTTCATAAATAAATTACGATTCCTCATTTTCAAAGATATCTCTATTTTCGATTTATAGGCCCAATTCGATTCAAATTCTCGAAGACCACGGCCGCAAAACAGCAAAGATGGCTCGCCTAACTCCATCTTTCTTCCTCATGATCGCATCTCTCGCGATCGCTTCCCCACTCAATCCCGCTGTGGGAATCATCGCCCGGACTGCAGCACCCCAGGACGATACACCAACCACAACCATTACAGCCACCACAACTGATTTACCCAGCACCACTGATGTCCCTACTACCACTGTTTTACCCACTACAACTAGTATCTCTACAATTACCACCACTTCCTCCGCCGCAATCGCCACCAAAACTATCGACGGCTGTAATGTCCAAGGTACAGCAGACACAGCACTTGCCGCACGATATTTCGGATCAGGTTATTACGCCGGCATTCTGAAATGTCAATCTACTTGTCGTGGTGTAACAGCATGTGTATCATACTCATGGACGCCCTCGACCAGTAACTGCACTTTGTATAATTCATGGATGGATGACTTTAACACGGGTGATACTACGGGTTATGTGGTTTTGAGTGATGATAGTGGGACTTTCTTTTCGGATAAATATCCAAGTGACGGCAGCGATTTTTGTTACAAGGCCATTTAAAAAGGGATAGGCGGAATTTAAGGGAGTATTTCTTGGAGGTAGTAATTTGAGTGGATACTCTAAAGAATAAGGTCTTCGAGTCCCTCACATACTATAAAAAGAGGAATGGAATTGGCTTGATCATGATTAGATTCTTGTTAGAGATATCAAACATTGTCCGCAGACTCTAAATCTTCTAGTTCCATCACGAGTCATTCAGAAGAGCCTCATCGCAATTTGCTTTGTTCTTTTCTCCTATTACTTCGTATCATTCAATTTTCTTTGGCGGATTTGTAGAAAATGTACGACATATCACGTGAAACTCACGTTTTTTCTACTTTGGCTTCGACCAATCGTTCACCAGACTAGCTGTAAGCAAGGCTTGCAACAAGAATTCATCACATAGGTCGCTAAAAGCAAGTTCCCTATGATAATATGTGTGGCTGTGACCTCGGGTCAACCTTCCTTGCCCCATTTGCGACCCTCTTCATCACGATCTTATGCATAATCTAGATCCCGTACCCATTCTTTCCATCAATTACGTCAATCTCAGTCCCTCCCTATCATCAGACTACCCCACCATTGATGTCTGACAAGTGTTACTCATGACATGCTTTCTGGAAGACCGTTGGTTGGACCCTCCAACATCCCAGTCATTTTTAATATCCGATCTACGTCAGGGTCCAGCATGGATCTTAGCCTTGATTTTTGGAAAAATCAGGAAAATCCTGAAATTACCATCGACCCAAGATCGAGAAGATGATGGAAGTGATCCACCATGTGTGGCGTCAATATGCATATGCCAACACGGGGCTTAGACGAGAATAGTTGAGCTGGAGAACTATATATCTGGGGACTTTCTGCCGGGTAATTTCTCCTTCTCAACATCAACAAATAAATCATCTGCAAATTTACATACGATTTCTAAATCACAAATCAAACTCAAACACTAAGTCCCTCCTCCAAATCAAAACAAACCCAACCCCTCAAATCAAATAATCATGTCTCAAGGTGGGGGACTCCTCGGCGGACTCGTCGGCGCACTCGATAACACTCTCACAGGCGGCGCCCAAGCCAATGGACAAGGTGGCCTTCTCGGCGGAGTCGGTGGTGCCCTCGGCAAGACAACTGAAGGACTCGGAAACACATTGAACACTACTGTTCGCGGTGTTGGTGATGTAGCTGGTGGTGCTACCAACACTGTTGGCAATGTTGCTGGCGGAGCTACCGGAGCTTTGGGTGGTGTCCTTGGAGGTGTTGGAGGTGCCACTGGAGGAAGCGGTGGAAGTGGTGGTCAACAATTGAACGCTTGGGGAGAGCCCATCAAGAAGTAAAGTGTTGGCCAACATGGCGCAACGCATTGCTTGGGATATGAGATCATGAATTGAAATGGATTAGATGGGAATACTTTGTACAAGAGTGGAACTGGAGCGAGGATCGTTTGTTTTTCCAACACAAATTTGGTTGGACGTTGACCTGAGAATGGCTTTTTGATGCTTTTAAACTGTAGATTACGACACTTGTAGTCACAGTACTATTTTATGATAATGGAATTCAATACTTGTTTCAGCATATCATAACTTTCTAGCTCATTATTGTTGTATCCTATTTGTTCAAGTGATCGATTGGAAGTCGCTATATCATTCCAAGAGCTAAGGACGAGTTTGACTATACAAATCCGTGCTGAGCCTACTGAATAATTTTTTTTATTTTTAAGCGGAAGTCGGACTCTTTTTTGAATGTCAAACTATATATTCTCTCGACGCAGCTTTTTCTCAACGAATCCAGTACATTTATCGGGAGAAAGAAGATGGATCTTTAAAAGATGATGCTCCATCATTCAACTCTTGTAATAACATGCTGAACAGCAGTAGTTTGCACACTATCAGTCAGCCCATATGAAAGACGACTCGCATAAAGTGCGGACGAGGACAAGGAGACACAATAAGTTTATCAAAAAGCTTTCCAATTTTGACAAAGTTACCTTCAAACATATCGCTATATACCTAGGTAGCTATAGATTAAGAGCGGCCAAATTGTTATTACAAGGCCAATTCAATGAATAGTTGATCTGTAATCTGATCTAGTAGGAAAAGGGGGATGATAGCTTTGTTTTCGGCTATTGTCTTAACTTTTCCTATGTGGTAAATCAGATATATATTCAATAGCCTTACTTCTTATTACAAACATATATCAAATGTAGTTTTTGGTGATATGAAGAACGACTTCAATTCTAAAGAGATTTGTTTTCATGCCCAAAATCTTCTCTTTCTATTTGGATTTTAAAATGAACACATACACTATGTTTGAAAAATCTGACCTCAGGCTACGCAATCGTGTATCTAAAAGCACAACAAGTTAACCTCATGCCCCCCGAGCTTCACGGCAATAGTCGGGTACCTTATCAGTATGATCTGACTCAGCGGAGAGCTGAGGAATGCTTTCGTTGGTCGCAATGGTTGAATCAACGGATAGCCGCACCATGGTCTCATTCCCTAGCAGCCCGGTATCATTCATATTCGCTTTTTGAATTTACAAGAATTCTAAATGGAAAATCTCATACCATAAGGCCCAACACTTATAGAGTTGTTGATAGGTCAAGAAGATCATTTTTGGCGTATAATGCTGATCCAAAAAAGGTTGGTCCGAAATTGGGGTGCCTCAACTTAGAACCGAGTGTCATTATACCTGCGGAATTATACTACAGCCGTTCAAGACTTTTTCCTTGCCGCTACAGGCGTTAAGAGCACGATTGAATGAAGTGGCACAGTCTACAGTTTTCATGCTTTATTTGCGTTTCTCTCATGAGGTGGATACAAGTGGGAGTAACAGGGGGACATGTTTTATAGAACAACTAGTAACTCCTTCCCAAACCTACAATTGAAGTTACCTCTCCAATATCACTCCACAATCACATGCCTTCTCAGCCTATCGCACAAGGCCACTTCTTCATATCTCGTCAATTTGTCTTCTCGTCTTGCGCTTCTACTGACGGGCGATGTTGTGGCGTATTTGGTCTAATTATCCAAATATTGTTAAATATCAAATCTCTGTAAACGGAGAACGAAAAGCTTACTGTCTATAGACGTAGTAGCAGAGGTTTGAGCTGAAGCATACTTGGGACCAAAATAAGGCATCTTTATCTAATTTGTCCAAATTTATGAATTTTTGCATTAGGATTGACAAAAAAAGGGCAGGCGCAATGATGTATGGCAGTGACTGCCCAAGTTTGACGAATCGGGTTGCAAAATTAAATTCTCTGTTATCTTTTAGGTTTGACATACGTGTGGATGTTCGATTCTGAAGCGGATCGAGGAAAAGTAAGGACTCATGGCATCTTGAAAAAATATGTGAATCGGATAGTTTGATTGATTGAGTATTTAAAGATACTTGCGAAGATGCAATATTTACATATAGCTCAGGTCTGCTTGGATGACAGGCTATACAGATGGGCTATCATCGGCGAATCTATACGAGAATTGCTCCGCTTGGGACCAGAGTCACCAACTGTTGGAGGAAACTCTTCGAACGTGGGACAAAAGAACTACTGTTTGAGTTGCGAAATTCCCAATTTGGGATAAATCTGCTTGATGCGGCTCAAAGCACATAGATTGCAGGACACAAGGTCTTAGGACTTATAAACTCGAGAAGCCGAGATTAAGCTAAGCTTTGTGAGGGTGAGGCTTCCTCGTTCGAGTTAAGATCTAACTCTACTAAATGGATTAATTGATATGGTGGATAACAATTTGTGCCCGGAAAACCATTTTTGTATATGCGAAGGGGTTTTAAGGGGTGACTTCTAGCCGTTTTGCGGGAGGATAAATGGTGGGTTGAAACTTGGAGAGTAAGATGCATTTTAGGTTCGCTTTCAACGGGACGGCCTTTGTGGGCCGCAAAATGAATGAATCTACCACAGGAGGAGAACCTAGTCTTGACGAAAATGTGACAGGAGCGATATGTAGAACAGCAAAGTTCTCGAGTGAAGTATGTATTGGTTAAGTAATTTGCGAACAATATTTTGCCATCACCTAAGGGCCAGACCAGAAGTGGTGCTGTTGGGTGAAATATGGGAGGAGAATGGAATATCCCGCCAGATACACGTTGCAAAAAGTGGAAAATTGGGGTTTTGTCTTGCATCGTAGTGTCAATTATCTGAATTGAAACGCGAGGCGCATCTTTTCCCAGGTTTTTTTCCCAAGGTAGAGAGCTTCCAGTTTATGTGCATCTTCATTATCCACGATATCTTTATCACCTTGGCTGTCACCGCTTTCCGAACCACTATAAAGACTTTGCGAATAATGACTAGCTACAGACTCATCTGTATCTTCGGAATCTGTTTCCAAACGAGCACTTTTTAGAACGTATACGGGTGCTCCGGATAAGATCATTTCAATATCGGAATCTTTACCAATACCCCCCATTTGATCTTCGCTCTCCGATTCATTGAACTCATCCGAGAGATCGTCGTAACCTGGAACGTCTGGAATGTTGGAGCCGGAATCGTCACCATCATCAGATCTTTGATAATCGGAATCATCGAAACTCTTATTGATATCTTCAATATCGACTTGCTCGTTAGCCCAATGGTTCCATTGATCATCGTCGTCTAATTCATTCGAATCGCCTAATGTTGACCCTTCACTTCAGTCTGTCTCTGCTGAATTACAGTCAGAACTGATATCAGAAGCGTCCACTAGATCATCAAACTCTTCAATAGTGATTCTCTCATATTTTTGTCTATCAGTATCGACGTTATCTTCGATTACAAGTGACAGAACAGAACTGTTGCTTGACGAAGAGCTAGACCGACTTGATCGCGATTTTTCGGTAGTGGTAGTTGTGGAAGTTGAGGACTTATCCACATCTTGTTCCTGCCCTTTGGCTAGCTGTTGAATTATTTTCTGAGCTATACATTCTCCATAATCAAGCGTGAGATCGTCTGTTGATGTTACGTCAATAAGATCCTCCTGTGTCAAAATTTGTCTCGAGGCTATGGCGATATACGGTCCAGAGTTCGCAATGTCCTCGAAATATACTTCTTCCTCGAAGATTTTAATAGCTGTATATTCGTCATTTTGTTTAGCAAATAGCTGTGAACCAATTCGCAAAAATTGAAGATCCGGGGTCAGAGAAACTGGAATAGGGCACGCAAGCGCCATTTTGCTGACCGGATGATCATACAGACACCAGTTCATGCGAGATGCATTGAGTTTTTGTGATAATCTAAGCTTGGGACGACGGGTACCAAGTGTCCATTGTTGACAAGTAAATTCAAGATCTTCGGAGCCGCCTCCCCTAATACAAAGTCAACAACCCTGATCCAAACGAATAGAATGATATATATACTCACAGATTCTCTATCTTCAATACCACTATATTTTGACCCGTGAGATCAATCCCATCATAGTATCGAGATGGTGTTTCTAGATCCGGCTCTTCATTCGTAGTCTGAAATGTAAAGTTTTTGTAACGACTTTGACCATGCTGCAAGAAGTTCTTAGGACCCATAGAAGTCCAAAAGACCCGATCAACTTCACCAGGGTACCTGCCTCCCAGATTCGTAACTCTATCCAAAACATGATTCCATTCACCAACAAAGTCGCTGTACTTGATTTCCAGCTTCTTGTCACAATTACTAGAAAGCCAGGCTGGGAATACACGTTTTAAATGTGGCCCTGTCCAGGTTCTGTTGGATTCGAGCCAAAATTGGAATTGTCCTGCATACCATTAGACACATGAAGCATGACATCCCTAGTATCAGGGATCTTACCTCCAATGAACAAACTTTGAACCTGCAGGCATGTGAAGAACTGTGGCGAAGTGATGAAGCTCTGTACTCTCGAGCATATTTCAAGAGTATATGTAACTCCATCGAGATGCTTGTCCCAATACTTCGCAGCATAAGAGAGCAAATAGTGTTCCATTACGTCCTCGCCTGTATAATCCTCGAAGGTATCCTTGGATTGGATTAATAGCCGCTGGTAACGTGATTGCCAGAGATATTTCAGGCAAACATTGGCCATGACTTCCTCTGTAATCTCACATGCTAATGTCTCTGATTTACTCAGACATTGTGGATGTTTCACGAGAAACTGTCGAACAGAACCGTGAGTGAGAGTACATGTTGAGATTTTGCCATGTGCGGTATCAAGGTCCTCGATTTGGACCAGAGGCTCGCACAACTTCAAAGCCATGCTCCGAAATAATCTCTGTGACTTATCAACATTGTCACAATCGGACGCGTCGAGAATCGCAATAGATTCGCATAGCTCGTCCAGTCGTAGCGGCCGTCGTGCATAGACAATACATGCTAGTATTTTGCTAAGGATCATACTTTAGTGTGATTTTTCTTTTCGTGTATGTTGTGAGACTTACGAAACGAAAGATTTTTGTGATGCCTCGATTTTGTCTATTTTATTCTGGTAGTAGTTCTCATAGTCTTTGGGTAAGCCTTCTTGAACTTGACATTGCACAGCAGACAGCGTTACCGCACTAGAAACAGAGTCTAACATAAGTGATGCCCATAAGAAGCATCCATCCGCTTTCTTGCGAAGGTCCCGTAGTATCAGATTTTGATATCCCTCATCAAGATCTAGACTATCGAGCTTCAAGATTGATTTCGACAGATAAAGCTCAATATCAGCACTGTTTATGTCCTTAGTAACCTCGATGGCTGCATAGTCTTTCAGAAGCTTTCTAAGATCGATCCGATCCTGAATACTGCACCATAGCTTGAATTGATAGGATTTATCACGCGTGAGCTCGATGAAAAAAGTCAAAGCGTCCCACAAAGCTTCCCATCGAGGGCCAGAGTCGCATTCCTCATCCACACCATCGAGAAACAAATAAGATGGAGGGAGACGACTTAAACACATGCGAATAAAGGCTTTCACGTCTCCGATCATAAAAACCGTACTTGTTCGCTGTGTGAAAGCATGGATGTCTTCAGGCATGTCTTCGAGATGCGTCCATAAGCGATTGGCGAGCTGCTCGGCTATAGCGCAATAGACTTGAAGAGATGAGAATGTTTCATCAAATGAATTATACTGATGTAAGGAGCACAAAGATGAATTGATTTGAAATGTGCTTTGTGCGAAGGCGGTTAGAACTGATTTTCCTGCTCCGGGCACCGCCCTAACCCAAAGCACAGGACTCTTTGAATCTGGGTTTTTTCAATTTTTAAACTCATCATGAGAAAAGAGCCAGGAGCATGTATCAGGGCTTCGTTTCCTCAGATACTGTTCCTGACGGCGGAAATTGCTTTCATTAAGAGTTGAATGAGCTTGTAACCAATTTCTCACGTCTTTCTGACGCCCACCTGCATTCTCTGTTAGCCAATTGCACATTACATATTATGTGGTGCAAAAATACTTTTCCTTGCAATGGCTCTCAGCTTCATCTCCTCTAGTTGTTGCTCGATGAATGCACTTTGTTGGTCTCGAGCGATACCTGCCAAACGCCTCTCTTCTGCTGCATCCTCCCGCTCACCCTTTTGAACACGTTCTTGTACAACAGGAACTAATTGACTAACCCGATAAGCATTCTTTTCAATGTCCTTAACAATTGCATCTAGTTTTGAATACTGTATGAAGACAATGCTCTGCCCATTCTATTGGCAACTTTCAAATGTTAGTTAGAAGGCACATTGATTCACCATAAGATACGGACCGCATCGATGACATTCTTTGTCCACTCGAACCCAAAACCTGATCACATCAATATATGTCATCTGAAGTAGTTCTTGCATAGTCTTTGAGTCTCCAAATAATTACTCAAACTCCGTTAGCACGTTGAGCTGAAGAGTAATATCTTCGAGTTGGTTCTTGATATCATCATATAGATTGAGGTATCTTTTTTAGGTATCGATGACGACCTTCATGCAACCCCAAATGATTGCTGTCGGCATGGGATCCGCATTACCTAAAAGTATAAATTATGTGTTGGTAATTTCCGATGATGTTTGACTTACTCATAGTATCAACCACACCCGAATAATCAGCAAGAACTGTAATCACCGGCCTTAACACTTTTCTGATGTTCCGCGTTACTGCAGAATCTGTGGTCTCTTTTTCGAGCTGCTTTAAAGCGTTGTTGACATCTTGCTTGGAAGGAGGCTTTGGTGAACTTTGCAGGTCGGTGATCAATTGAGAGGTCTTGCTCTTCTTTCTCCTCCGCTTGATATACTCCTCAAGAGCACGAGTAAAAGGCGATGCATCATTCTTCACTTGAAGCTTGAAGGACACAGTTTTTTGCAGTGGCATCTTAGGTCCTGGAGGCATGGTGATTTCTTCCCACCTCTACTCACACCGTTTTCGTCTTGTAGAATTATGAAATATTGCGACACTGTGCAATCATGATCGAAATACATTGAAGGCTCGGGTATCTCTTCGACTTTGAGATATTTATCCTTGTGGCTCAGCTATGCAGGCAAAAACTTCACGATATGTAACGAATCAACGCGATAAATCAATACAGGGCATAGTGTTAGTGCTGACATACCAATCTTTTCGTGACCTTGTAAGATCCATTCGGGCTTCAATGCTGGGGTGGGTGTTCTTAAGAACCGGGTAGCTGAAGCTGCTAAGTGACGGCGACGACGATTTCTGCCATTGATCAGCACATATTAGCCGCAATAAAGCTGCAATCGATATCAATTTTAAGAATTAATTCGGTTCAATTATCACAGGAGAAATGGTATAAAAGATATTGCTGTGTCGTATCATTTTTGTTGAATGAGAAATGACCTCGAGGCGTGCTGGAGTTGGACCTTATCTCCGAAGACACACTATAGCTCTAACCCCACGTTAAATTTACAGCCCGATAACCGATATCCCTGTATCTTGCACAACCCTGTATCTTGCACAATTTGATTTATTAAACTAAAAATCGATATTAAATTCAAATATCATTATAATGATTTTAAAATTTGTATAATAGAATCTTATATTTATTAAAAGATAATATCAGGAATTTGAAAGATTTGAAATATTCAATTGAATATTAATCGATTTTGAATAATAATATTTTAAAATATTAATAATAAAATAAAAATCTATATTAAAGTGAATGTATATAATTGAAAAATAGTTTTCTATATTTATTATTATTATTATTATTAATCAAAAGTTTGAAATTTCGAAAAATATCAATAATCAAGTTTTATATTAAGTTTTAAATTTTTATATAGTTTTAAAAAAAAGAAAAATAATTTAAAAATACTTTTTAAAATATGATAAAATATTTATTTCGAGATTTTAGAAAAACAAAATTGATATTTTAATTCAATCTATAAAACTATATTTTTATATATTAGAAAATATATAATATAATAATAATAAATAATATTAAAATAATATATTATTTAGAAATTATAATTAATTATATTATAGAATAATATAAATAAGAAAGAATAATAATTAAAATAATTAATTTTTATATTTCAGTTGAAAAGTTTATTATATATCTTTTTTCAATCAAAAATATTGTAGTTCCTTTTCTAAAAGAATTTTATTTCTAAAAAATGTCTTTAAATTTTATAATATTTCTAAGAATTTTATAGTTTATATTCAATTTCAAATTCATTTTATAATATTTAATACTAATTATTAGTTTTAAATTTAAATTTAAATCAAGATTTTTTTTCAAAAAATATTTGAATAAAAATTCTTTATTATTGATTATATAATTTTAGTTTTTAAATATTAATATTTTTAAAATAAATAATTATATATATAAATATATAATAAAATATAGTATTTTATTATTTAATTATTAATATTAATCTATAAATAATATATTATATAATTAAATTATATTCAGAATATAATTAATACTTAAGTTATAAAAGATTTTTGTTTTAAAACAAATTATTTATTAAAACTCTTATTATATATTAATATAATTTCGAATTTTTGATATTAAAATTAGCTTTTTTTGATTCCTTATATTGAAAGATCTTCAAATTTATAGAATATATTCTAAAAACAAACTTTTATTATTTCTATTATTAAATAAATTAATATATAATAATTTTATATTAATAGTTTTGATATCGAGATTTCTATTCAATTATCAATTATAATTATGATTTTATCATTTTATATAAAAGAAATAATATTATAGTATTCTTATTTTTATTTTTAATAGAATTCAATGATTGGTTGATTATATATCATTTTTAGAATATTATTTTCAAAAGAAATAAAAGTGTGCAAGATGCAGGGTTGTGCAAGATGTAGGGATATCGGTTACCTGAGATATGATTAAATCGCCGCCAATGAACGATAAGCGACCAGCTTCATTCACGAACATCATCACCTCCTTCTTCACGGTGCATCACAACCATGTCGCTCTATTTTCCATTGGGCACATGGGATAATACTAATAGCCCCCATTATGCATGTCCGCATAAAGCGTAATCTCAATGTAATATCAAATCAAATCTAGAACAATTCCTCGTCCATCATCCTATCTCCGAATGCTCTTTTTGATTCTTAATTCCCCTCTTCTGTCATTCGTAGATCCCAGAGTGGACTTTGCTTTACGATAGACTCAACAATATAGACAAACTTACATAGGGTTAACTATGGCGCCTTCTACCAATTCAGCGAAAGCGGACGACCAAACTGAGCCTCCTTCAATCGGAATCAAAAGGGTAGAAACAGCTCAGGATAGCAAAGCGCAGAGGCTCTTGCGTGTAGATCAAATGTGAGTGCAGCTTGTAATCACTCACGATGGAAATTCAAAGCTGACGAGATATGCGTAATAGTTATAGCAGGTACGTCCTTCGATCTCCCTTCACTCGCCGACCAATACCAATGCAACCACAGAAAGGACCGGCAGACACACTTCGTTAGAACTGCAAAGGCTACTGTCAAACCAGATCGAATCGGAAAAACAGCATTGGTAGTAGGTCGTATCATATCAAGACAAGGCTAGTTGTAACCTACTCGGCGGATTAAGCAAATGTGTTAATGGATGTCAGGTATGCTCGCGGAAACAGAGGTAGATATCAAGTCGGTTCTACTGAAGGAAGTACTTCTCGAAATCTTTGATGGTGTCGAGGGACTCAGTCTAAATAAAACCCCTCCCATGGTTCGTGAATCTCAGTAGACTTCGGCACAAATGCTTATACGCAGCAGTGTTCGCCCGAAATACTTTTCCATGCCAAAGATGCCCTGACATCAAGAAAAGCAGATGAGAAAGAGAAAGACGATCCAAACCAAACTCTGATCAATGATATTGGTACAGCGCTGAGGTTCATAAACGAAGATTTTGGTGCTCAGATACAAAGTTAGAGTCGTTGCTTAATAATGGTGAAATCACATTTGACCTGCTATGGGCTTTGATGAAGCCAAAAGATTACGTGGTTTCTATACAGTTTAGGCTTACAGGCCAAAGTCAAGCTTTGAGTGTTGTCAGTGGGACCTATCATAAGCGACAGAATTCTACGAATTATTTCAAGCTTAACGGCCGCATGATCTCTCATGACGGAGAAGATTTTGGCTATGACTTCGTAGACACCGAGATAGATGAGTTTGATGGTGCAAGGAAAATAACTTCGTTAAAGGCATATCCCATTCAATATGATCCAAATTCAGATACCCTCCGTAAGAATTTGATCCAACGAGGACGCAAGTATTTGTCCTTGATTCGAGCTCTTCCTCAAGCTTTTTGTCAAGAGTATACTATGGATTTTGGCTTGGAAGATCATGAAACTTCGAACGGAAGAATTCAGGCTCAGAAAGCTAATGTATGTCACTACATTCTTTTACAAGATTTTTGATAGCCTGGACTGCAGTCCGGCAACAGAAGGCTATCAATTTGTACACTCAATCAAAAGCTTCAATCAGTTCAGTAGATTGAGAACAAGCATGCAAAGTTCGAGCTGCATTCCGGACGTTAAAAATAAAAACACTAGTCTTTCACAGTACAGCTTTCAGACTAACAAGTCTTTAGTTACGTGGTCGTGTCATGGCGGATCCCGAGGCATGGAAGTTCAATAATGGTTGGACGGATCTTGCTACACCAATAATTCTGGGAGAATATTCTATCACAGGTAAAGATCTAGATTTACATGATGACCAATTGTTGGTTTGCGCGAACTGGATCAACGGCTTTAGTTTAACCCATAAGTCTTGGGTCAGTTCTCTATCGACGGCTTGAAAGACATCGTCTGGAATGAAGACGCTTTTCAAAAGCTGGTAGTTGATGAGACTAGACGAATGTTGATTCATGGATTAGTGAGAGCTCACCGACAAGACGACGCTTCTTTTGATGAAATCATTGAAAACAAAGGGAAAGGTTGTTGGATTGCTCAGTGGTAGTCCTGGTGTTGGAAAAACATTAACTGCTGAGGCTGTTGCTGAGGTTACCTCTCGTCCCTTGTATCAAGTCAGCACTGGGGAGCTTGGAATTGATGCTGATAAGGTCGATAAACGTCTGGGTATGATACTAGAGATCACTACACGATGGGGTTGTGTTCTGCTTATCGACGAGGCGGAAATATTCCTTGCAACGCGTGGAAACGACCTTGCTCGCGATACTCTCGTGAGCATCTTCTTACGAAGGCTTGAATACTTCAGGGGTGTTTTAATCTTAACGACAAATCGGAAGTCAGAAATCGATCCAGCTCAGTGTAAGTAATAGTATACTACAATGAAACTATGGTGCGTATTAGCATATTGATATTGTAGCTAGTATGTATAAAAAGGAGGTTATACCACTCTCATATATATTCATATACCTAAAAAAAATACGAGTAATATATTGAAATACTAGAATTCATTATAAAACATACATTCCTATTCAAATTAGATTAGAAATAAGAAATTCCTATTTATATTAAATAATAAAATTCTATTCCTTATTTCGAATTAATATAAGATCCCTTATTTCTAGTTTAATTTGGATAGGAATATATATTTTATAATGGATTCTAGTATTTCAGTATATTACTAATAATATTGAATAACTAAATAATATTGAATACTTTTAGTAGTATTAAATTTTATATTATATACATATATATTTCAAAAAAATTCGATACGCACCACTAAACTAACCCGTATACGAAATACGGGAAATACTATTGTCTACACTGATCCAGCTTTCCAGAGTAAGTAACAATTTTAGCGGTAACGTATTTGGCTAACACTAGAATAGGCCGTATACACTTCTCTATCCACTATCCTGATCTAACAGAAAGTGGTCGTGTAACTGTTTGGACTAACTTTATCGACACCATCTCGAAGCAAACGGGAACTCCTAGCCTCGATTCAGCTGATATCGAAAAACTTGCTAGACTTGAGTTGAATGGACGGCAAATCAAGAATGCAGTCTCGTGTGCAGTATCACTCGCAAGAGAGGAAAAAGAGCCACTTTCCGTGAATCATATTGAGATGATCTTGAGTATCACAAATTTGTGAAAAGTTGGATTACTTGCGAAGATTATGACTGAAACTGAAGAATGATGGTTCAAGATATCTTCGGGTATCGATTGTTACAGTACAATTATTTGCACGATTTCAAATCCACCTGTGCAGCATGTTACCAAACAATGTCCAAATTTCTGATCTTACCATCATTTGTGATAGATAATCAAGAGAAAGACCTTTTTGGTGTGAAGTCCAAAATAACATTTGTTGCGTCAGTGCTAGCTTTGGGAAGTAGTTCCCACTTGGCCTTCCACTCATTAGTAGCACATTCATTATTAGAACACCTCTTCAACGATTAAGCTCCTCTCAGGAGTCATTCCATTTCCATGTCTTCACTTAACTTCGGCCCTAGTATTCTTCAAACCACCTGTTCATTCGTTTCACTTCTTCCGCCATGAGATTTGGCGAAAAAGTAGGTTCTTTGGTACTAACATGCCTAGAGCGACAAATGTTGCTCTACCTCAAAGTTTAAAGGACATTAATATTGACACTGAATCTTATTTTCCAACCCAGGAACAAGTAGCCAACTCTAGGTAGAATTATCTTGATTCCTTTCCCTCTTCTTTTTCTCGACTAATCGCAAGTTAAATTGGAGTCTATTGTTTCTTGGTTTCTACAGTGACAGTGTGTCTTCATACTGATGTCCGATTATCTAGTTATTAGAGGGTTGCTATGTCCATTTTGCCTTTTCTCTTCAGTCAAAGGTTTATTCATGGGCCAGTCATCAAATATCACTCACGGGAACAAATCATTAAACTAGAAGGTGATGTTATCAATTAAATAATTATTGGTATCTGAAGACTCATTGTGCAAAGCTGCGACAAAACAAGAAGTCACAAGAAGTTAATCACCTCACCCATCCCAGTTAATCCTTCCACTCACAACGCCGACAATGAACCCAGAACGAGAGTCCAGCCCACAAGAGGCTTCTTGGTGGTCCATTTTCCCCCAGTAATTCGGCAGAGTGAAAAGAGTACTATTACACGCTCGCCAAAAAAGTAAAAGAGACACTAAAAGAAACAGCAGAAAGCACTGAGAGGTTCTTTGTTTAACGAACTCTGTCCCCCATCACCAAAACGCCTATCATCCGTATGATCCATACGCCCTTTAACATCCACCGTCGGACATCCGTCACCCGCTGTGCACAAATCCTCACTATCCAACAGATAGCAGATACATTTACTGATTTGCATTTCTTCTCCTAGTTCTAATCTTGACCAAACCATATCTAGTGCCAACGATATCCCAGACAAATCTGTACAATAGGATCAAAAACAGAATCAAGCAAGGCCACAAGATATTAATATGGTGATGTGTGTTATTCGTACACAAATCATTAGCATCGATGTAGTTGCAAGTCGCAATTGTAAGATTCGAATCAAAGAGATTGAAATCGCTGACCGGAGCAGTCGTACCGTTTCCGTAATTGACAGTGCCGTTAACAACTTCGATATTCTTCATGTCAACCGAAACTGTGAATTTGATATCGTTTGTGTAGACTGGAATCAAAGCAATAGGCAGCAGAATAGCGGTACAGACTCCAAAAGAGTAGCTGCTGACCATCCATAAATCGTAGTACTTGCTGCGGTGCATGCGTGTCATAAGTGTATTGGAATTGCCTCGACGAGCTCTCTTATTGTGTGTAGAGTTTTGGACAACCGGGTTTGTTGTAGGAAGTGTGCCGAGTTCAAGATCCTTGCTGACATCGTCGAGGTGGTCTTGATTGAGAAACTTGCTAGAGGACTTCGCTGTGTGATATCTATCGCCGCTGCTTAAGTCGCCTTCGTCAGAGAATGCATCGGCTGACTTGGTGGAGTATGTACTGTTTCTGCTGCTGACGGCGAGTGTACCAGCGTCGGAATCGAAATCTTGTTCATGGGATCGAGAAGAAGACATCTTTGATGATCAGAGGTTTGGCAAATCTTTTGACTTGGATTGTTGAAGTTATGTTGATTGAATCTTTGGGTAATCGGTGCGTGGATCTGACTTTGTAGTATAAAGTCGAAATGCGTCTGTTTGGTGTGAAGGAAGATCTTTTGACTTGGTCTTGTAGAAGTGTAATGTGTAGAAGGAAGAAAGCTGTCTCCATCAGAAGAGTAGAGTCCTTATATATGTAAGAATGTGCAATGTCTACAGCATATAATTGACTAGTGTCGTCATTGAGCGTAGTCAATTAGTGGCTATCTGTTAACCGTACGCGCCGTACGCGCTGGTTTCTGAACCGGCGATGAATAAGAATCTCTTGATCCTAGCTGGACCGTATTAGACTCATCAAAGCCGTACTATGTCCCTTTCTAGCACTCTACTTCGATCGATAAGGGGTAGTAGAATATTTGGTGAAAGAGGAAGAGACGAAACACGGTTCTGCGAAGAATGAATGAGGTTTATGTGGTTTAGATTCCACCAGGTCATATATGAGAAGAGTGCAATTTCAATATCCATCATTATTTACAATAACTTGCAACTATCACGAGCTAGGTATATCTTGTTCATCGAACCAAGAATCCTCAGAGTGGGGTTTTCAAACTCCCAATTTGCGTCCCATTCTTCGGCTCACATACACTGAAAACCATTCCCTCGAGGCAGATACAGTACATAGAACCATAAGAAAAATATGCCACGATCAATCAAAGCCCAGAATTTACGTATTGAACCATTCCTAACATCATTTGTGATTTATATATTTTCCGAAAATAACAAACTGACTGTTCAAATACGTACATTTCCTCAACTTGGACAACGTACCTATGTAGTCTCTTTCCCTTCCTAATATGACCCTTTCCATCAATTGGACATAAAATCATCTTCATAACCACCAATCGATCTTGAAAGTATCTAACAAAAGAATGAAAACAGAGCAACACCAACTGACAAAAGGGCAAAGCCCCCGATAGCTTGGTAGGCCAACTTATTTTCTCGATCGTGACGATCTTGAAGATCACATTCCGCGAGGTACCGCTGCAACTTTTTCTGGTACTTAGCGGCTCTTCTCACCCTAGCTCTTCTCATTTCTCTTTCATTCTTTTCCTCCAAAGTCATGCAATGTACCAAATCATTTTGCACCACATGTCTTCTATACTCTTCCCATCTCCTTAACTCCATCTGCTCAGCTTGCCATTCAGGATCTTGTTGTTTGAGATAAAGTTCTTTCGCTTGCTCTGCTAGATAATCAATTTCTACCTGTCGTTGAATCTGAAATTTTTTATAGTGCATAAATTTGCCGTATTGAGGCGATAGTTGAAATCGGATATCGTTCCAGTTCTGGTGCTTACGTATGCTGTTGTGATACCACTCTCTTTCGTGAGCTTGAGCGAGCTCTTCTTTTCTCAGTCGTTCGTACGAATGCAGGTGATAGGTGGTGGCTGTCATTTTGTGCAGATGCTGCGAAGCTTTGTTAGTATTGACTCCTGGACCGGGGGGTGGCCGTCAATTGACTGTCAAGGGATCATAACTGGTCATAGAAGGATAGTTTATTAGCTTTAAGAAGTATAAGATTCTGTGGGATTAGTTTTCCGGTGGTTATAGTTCGTGATGACGCCAACTAACGATGGTGAAATGGGTCGAAATACGTGATTTGAAGATGTTGATCTTGACACTATGATTCCGAGATCTGGTATCGTTGATGATTTTGAGCTTCAATTCTGATTTTGATGTTGACGTCGATATGAGTTGCGATGTTGGGTTGATGTTGGCTGCTGATGAGATGTGGAAGAGTTCAAGGCCGTGTGAATTCATGCCACGATCATTGTTCAAAAGATGTGGTATGAACCGAACTTAAAGACGAAAGACAATAAGTTAGTTCAGCTAGCGGCAAAAGCTTTTTTGAGACCGTACGGCTTGGAAGTTGGATAGTAGAATGATGGCGTATCCAAAAATGAAATCGCCGTAACTCGGTACAATATGGTCGGTCTAAAATCCCCATGGACAAACCGCAGACCGTTCATAGAATTCTTTCGATTGCTAGATTCAATTAAAACATTAAGTTTATTTGAGATACCTACGAGTTCATTGCGGATAGTGAATAGTGAACTGTTTTTGAACATTCAAAGCTTATATCTAACTTGGTATCCGATTTACTGGATGCTCCATGAAACATCACCGTACACTATTGAAGTCACACACTGCCAGCATATGTTTTCAATAGAATGATGGGAAATTTTAGTTCGAAGGGTATAATTTATCGCATGGTAGGATGATTAAGTCATTCCTCCGCATATTTACAGTTGATCTTATCGTGAAAGTTGAAAGCCCTTCATAGGCAAGAGCCCTTCCAACTATTACAACCATTACCACGGCGCTTATTCTGTGAAAGAAACCGACTTTTAAAATCACAACGGCTACAATATAATCATTTTCCTCCTTAACTGAAGCACTCGTAAGTGCAGCGTGAGTTCATATCGACCATGCCGAAGACCAATCCTTAATATGCATAACGAAATCTCGAATACATAATGACAACGTTGAAGAGTCATTAAATACTACCAGCTGTAGATAGGCAGAAACAAAGGCTCGAAATCGAGACGAAAGTTGATGTGATGAAAGAGCTCTTGTAATCCAGAACTGTAGGTTGATAAAGTTAGCCAATGCTCATCAAGAGTGAATTTGGAAAGAAAAATTAATAACATAACTAGTACACCGGAAGTGAACAGAGGGCTTTTAAAAAAAACTTAAGACCGATAATGCATACATACTTACTCGAGCAACTCAAACTGAAATTGTTTACCCAATTGACAACTGATCCAAACAAGAAACATCAAAGTAGGTGACGAATTATACCAAGCTGGTGCTTGATCCATCGAAGAGGCAAGAACAAGCAGTTTCTATCTTCGTTTTCATCCCTGGCGCCAACACCAGCTTGGTTGAAAGATCCATCGTCGTATCCGCCCAAAGTATCACCATGAATATCGGAGCGGTTATAGTCGGAGCGAGGAATGTTTTGAACCTATCATCAAATCCAAATTAGTCTAGGGGTTCTTGATAGAAGAGGTTTTGTCACTCACAGCAGCCATGTTAGAAGCTCTGGCAAAAGGATAACGAACATCCGATGGATTGCGTAGAAGTTCAAATACAGCACCAACGGTAATCGTTGCCTCTCGGTTACCGGCAGCATGTTCAGCGTTGGTACGAAGCTCACTTTCTGGGAATGACCGTAGCTCGATGCTACCGAGATTGTCATCGAAAGATGGACGATCAAAGGTAAAAGTTGGAACGTCAAGACTTGCTTGATTCTGCTGATTACCAAGACCAAAGTCCATTGGCGTGGCTTGACGACGAGGAACTTCTTGAATCTCATCGAAACTGGCATTCATCTCGGAAACCTGATCATCGGGTTCCTCAATAATGGTAGGGGTTCTTACAGGTACAGGAAAAGGGATGTTCTCCCAAGCTGGAGAAGGTACCGCGACCTTTGGAGAGGTTCTAGCTGTTTCCGCGAGAAATTGATGAAAGTCGGCCGACTGAAATTGCATGCGCTCTCTGAAAGCCGCATGTTCTTTTTCGGTTCTAGCTCGATTGAATCTCCAATGAGCGAATGCGGCTTCATTTTCCGTTGAAATGGAAGATCCCGCAGCGGTTGTTACACTTCGAGATGTTAGTACCTTCGCGTTTTCAAATTGTTTAAGAAGAGAGGGGAGAGTTTCTCACCTTGAGTGCGAGGGCGCAACGTTTGGGGACATGTTAAAGCTATTGCCAGTAGTATCACTTCCTGAGCATTAGTATCTCTTTGAGGGTCTGAGCAGGGAATCAGGGAAGGAGATTCTCACATGGATTTCGACATGACTCGTATTAATCTCGAGCAAATGACCGAAGAAAATCTGATGAAGTATTATAGAAAATCTCAGACTCGATGCAAACGTAGGAGCAGAGCTTTGAAAGAAAAGTTGTTGAAAGTAAGTTCGAACTTTGAAGTGTTTCTGCAAAGATGTTGTTGTTAGGAATGTTCAAATATAGTACAGGCGATGCCAAAGAGTGGATGGTTTGAATTATGAAATTATACGTGAGTGGAAGATCTAGATGCTTTCCTTGAAGGTAAGTGAGAAAGAATCTCAGATATCCAACAAGAAAAGTAGTTCTCACTCGAAATAACAGGATTGAGAAATTTTTGTTGTTGTGGGAAAGAAGATGGAGACCCGACGACCGAAAGTGAAAGATATATTCACCACCTCGAGGCTATAAAATTCACCGCCTTGCAAAAATCTCAATTAGATACTCCTTAATTGGATACTCGAGACGCCTCAAACTATTACACCTGGCAGAATAGCAGGCCGGACTATCTTCTTATGTCGAGTCAGCCTTGTGAACCCATCAAGATGGTGCTGTAATATTTGGTCTGTTTGATTTGCAGCAATCTTATAGAGATTAAATCTAGAGGGTTGTAGGATGGTAGTTTCACATAATTTAGATATCTCACTTCATTAGAGCTTTTGCCCCAGTTATAAAAGATGGTAGAATAAAGTAGTTTATTGAAAAGAGCCTTTCATTTGCATTATCATGGTAAGTGTGAATGCAACATGCAAACACCAGGATCTGACGGCCTGACAACCAAACAAACTGTCCAATCATTCTTGAACGCTGAACTCTATCCATTCCAGAAACCCCATAATAGAGTAAATCTTTAGTGGTCTGGCTCCAGTCCCAAAGTCTCCGAAAGATTCATTTGAATGATACAATCAATTTGCTTCCTCGTCTCATCGTATTCCTTCTTGTGGTCCATCTTCAAATTAGCATCAGCAGAGTCCTTCTTGCAAGCCATTTTGACATTGTTAACTTGACTTTCCTTCTCTAGAATGTCTTTCTTCGCGCCCCCTGATAAGATCTCTGATATAACCTTAGTGTACAACCGTCCCTCATTGTTCAACAAATCATCATATCGAATTAACCTGTCCTGCATTTCCTCAATCTCTGTGCATAAACGCCTATGAACTATATTAGAGGCGGCGGAGAAAATCAGAATAATTCCAGCAAACAAAAAGACAAATCCACCAAGGTCATACTCCATGTACGTCTCGTAGCATTGAGCACTATCGGTCATTGAATTGCAGATATGTCTTCCTGGTTGGAGGACTAAATTGTTGTTCAATGGAGCAACACCCTTGAAACCGTACACGAGAAACTTGTGCCCAGACACGTAGCTTTCAGTTCTGTTGGAGTAGTAATTGAAGCCAAGGATAACAACGACCGGAATCAAGGTAAGAATGGCGATAGCAGATAGAAATTCGAAGTCGCATTTGGCGAGAAATTTGTTGTACCAGTTCATGGCATTTCTACGCTCGAAAGACATTGCGCATTGAGTGATCTTTTGCTTGATGACTTCTCGATGTCCCAGAGATTTTTCGATATCCATTGCTTTATCAATGACGTAGGAATAAGAATCGGACTTGGAACGCATTTTGTGTTTAGGTGGATCTGTCATCTTTGATGAAATATGGCGGGTAGATACTATAGTTTAATTGTTAGTCAAACATGCTCTCAAGAAAGTAGCCATGGTTTCTACTGAACTCTGACAAGATAGATCAAATAGATTGAACACAAACTTCCAAGGTTCTGAAAGATGTAATTTGAACAATTTACAACGACATATTACTTGAAAAGGAGTAAAGCTTTAGGTGAGCTCAAGAATGAAGGGTCTGTTGGTTTTGGACTGCTGTCTAGAACACCAGACAGTCTTTTTGAAGATTAAATGAGTGCATACCTCTGTTGAAATTTGACTCAGAGTGAATGAAGTTGTATAGAGTTGTATGAAAGTCTGGGCTTCTCAAGGCTGAAAGAGATTGTGAAGCAAAAGCACACCTGATGTCAAAGGCAGTGAAAATTCGTTGACAACACCACAGTTCGAAAGTTTTATCAGTTCAACGAATAAAGAACATCAATGAGTAAAAGCGCGTGTCGAAGGCGCAAAGGAATGGGTAATCATTTGGAGAAGCGATTTTGATATTGGAGGTTAACTTAAGATTTTGTCGCCTATGCTAGCGCGCCGGAACGCTAAGCCTATAGTGCGCGAGCTTCTATCATATTTGCTTTTACAATTAACGGTGAATTGTAAAATTTCTTCAAGAATACTGATTCCTCACCCTGACAGAAACACACGGAATTCATTATTTGAAAGTATTGGAGCGAGGATATATTCACGTCTTTCGAAAATTGACACAAAGATTTCTTTCAATTTCTTCGCAGGTCGCAGCCTCGAGCGAAGCTACCGACGCACTCAATATTTATATAGACTGTACGAATGATACTTGAGTTCTGCTGCTCCCTCCTGAGTCAAACCACTGGGGAAACTGGCAGGGAATACTAGGCCCAAAAATAGTAAGTGTGGTAGTCTCATTTACATCTACATATTATCTATAATCATTCATCTAATTTGAGAAACACACTTCCGTTCCAAAGAATTATAGCTCCACACTTTCTTTAGCTAACTTGAACTTGAAATCCTTTAGCCCGCCGATCCCAACGTCGACCTTGAATAGTGCTCCCGCATACTCATCGCCCCCATCACTTGCACTCGTGACCCATAACTCAGTACCCACAAACACGGGACAAGTCACACACTTCGTTGGATACTTGATTTCCCCAACTACTTTGCCTTGAGGATTGATCTTCAGCACACGTCCTTCCCCGAATACACATTGCCAGATATTCCCTTCCGAGTCGAACTTGAACCCATCGGGCTCTCCATCTCCATCGTGTTTCCAAAATACCCGCTTGTTGGTCACATCGCCAGTCGAGGCATCGTAATCGTATGCCCAGATAGTTTGCTCGGTGGTATGGGTAAAGTACATAGTTTTTTGGTCTGCAGACCAGCCAATTCCATTAGGAATCGTCAAACCTTCACGGATAGTATGGCGTGTGAGATCATTGTCGAAGCGGAACATTGTACCTGAAGACATTGAGTTTAGCGGCAAGAACGCACAGGGCGAGGGTAAAATTATCATGATTCGGGGCAGATAGGGAACAGATCACATGCAACGGACTACGAGTTGGGACCAAGAGGCTTCACACATCCACTTGGTGCTTGCTTGGAATCCATAGCTCAAGCTTATCCCCAGTTTATAGTCAGGAATCAAAATGTCACCCACCTTCACTTTGTGGCTCCCCCACCCAAAAGTCATTCATAGTCCCGATCCAAAACCTTCCTTTTGGATCTACGGCCCCGTCATTACTCCGCAGTCTCTCATCTTTTTCTTCACTGTCACAAAACCTCTTCAATAACTTCATCTCTCCATCACTTCTTCTAAGAACGTAGACCCCGCTTTTACCACCCACCAATATCCTATCGGTGCAATCTATGCCCTCAATATCAGCCGTTACGCCGACGGGAATATCTAGCTGCATGGTCGTAAGAGATGATGGACCAACATTGAGATCGATTGTGTGGAGACGCTTCTTCTTGATGTCCACAAAGCGGAGTGTGTTGGTAGAAGGCTCATAGAAGGGAGCTTCACCGAGCCCACAGTGTGGGTTGATGTATGGTTCTGTGACTATCCATGTTTGTATGGAAGACATTATTAGATGATATCGTGAATTGAGATTCCGATTAAGTTGCTGCTTGAATGTGGAAGTTTGATCTACAGATATTGAGGTACTTGAGTACTACAGCTGTTACTAGCTGTATATGTGGCACGGCGATTATCTGGTGGGGAAGGAAGTGATGTCACATCGGAAAATCTTTTCAGCGAATTGAAACTTCGATATATTGCTTCCTGACGTGGATCGAAATTCTATCACTGTGGAATTCTTAGAAAGAGAAATAGGACTAAGTACTACTACAATTTTATATATAATCACTTTCATACAAGTTGTGCCGTAGTTCCTTATTGCTTTTGGCAAAATCCGGTACTCCGGGCCTCTTGCCGTCGTTGCAAAAGGGGTAAACTTTGGCAAATTTACATATACCTGTGATTCCATTGGAACTGCGGGAACAAGATTATGGTATTGGGATCAAGAGGGAGTAAAAATACTTCTTCGTTGAAAAGCCTCTTTATCTGTCGAATCTTACTCTTGCTTACTCGCATTGATTATCCCTCTTGTCTTTTACATTCAAGGTTTCTATTGTCCGGAATCAGTCAGAGAATCAGAAGCGTTCCACTCCTGAAACTCATTATAGCAATCAAAAGACTTAGGTACTGAAATCACTTCGAACGTTGAATTGCTTCGGGTATTGAAAGTCCACAGCCAGTCTGCTAGGACCGACCATTTGACACTCTAGTTGCGGTCCTTACATGAAGGATTAGGAAGGATTGCATTCTATACTCCCTGTGCTTTATCTCTATGTAGTCCCGCTACATGTGACCTGTGAAACAGAACGAACACGTCGCATTGGAAGAAGAGCTTTGGTGCAGCTTCTCTGACGTGTCGCTCTCGCTGTCCTCCAATTCTTGATCGTCCACTTTCTCCATTATTATCGTGCATAAAACCGAGTTTCTCGGTGTCTACCGATGACCCCGCTTTGTAGGATTGATGAGAGCATGGTGTAGATAGCCCACCGTTGCCGCAGATGTTAATTGAGGATCAAAGTTTAAACACATAATCGTGAATTAATCCCCCGTCATAATCTACCGAGACGGAATTTTCCCATTCTGTGCAATAAATTCACATTGCGTTCAGATTTGTCGGAACCGCGGATTCGGAACCGAAACTTTGGAATCATTCGCAGAAGCTTGATATATATATATATACACCCTATAGCTGCATATTATTCTTCGAGTGCTCAGAGATGGAAGTCTTCGCGGCAATTGCAGGTTAATATCTCGAAATGCTATACCGACAATCTGTTTCAACGGCTATCAGGCATTATGTTTTGCGGTGAGCCACAAGACTAAAAAATCACTGGAACTTAATGGGTTTCCGAGGAGAGCTCTCTGAGTCCTAGTAGTGTAAATGCAGAACTATTGACCTAGTGATGCGTGTCTGAGCTTGCCAGCAAAGAGATGCATGTAATCACCTCCTTCAAGACGTGGAAAAACCCAATTGCCACTCTTCTGCTTCTACTTCTGTACATCATGTTGCAATGCTTATCCGAGCTTAGGATGAACATAGGTTGGTAGTGGTTTTGACGACGCGTAAAGCACAAGTAATAATGCTAGCCATTTACGATGATGTTGCTATTGGCGCCAGCGAAGAATCTTCACCGCTGGGGCTAGAACCCCTTTTTGTCTCTTCGCCTTTCACCGACAGTCGCGGATCTATACCGTAATCCCAATTGGGACAATTGCGTGGCAAACGTGGATATGATTTGGTATGGGGATAAAGCTGCAAGTGAACGCACGCATAAATATCGTCGACTTGGCGCTATCTCGTCACATTGCGCAAGAAGAGAGTCAATCCCGAGCCCCATAAGACTTACTTACGACTTGCAGATTCGGATAGGACCCGTTAGGACCAAACAGCAGGAAAGACAAGCAGGCAGACCGCTGTTCGCCATGCGTTTTTTTTCGCAGGCTCAGGATAGTGTGGAGAATCAAACTGTTGCTGAGGCAATTGACGAATCTCCTCCGATGGCAAATACCGGGGCACTTTCACGTGACCGTTATTGCTTCCAGACGAGATGCAGATAGCGACGCACGGATAAGCTTAATATAAGCATGCAGATACTTTTTTGCTTGGGTTGTGTTCTTCCTTCATTCTGGAATCAAGTTGTTAATGTTGTGTCACTCCCGAAAGGGGATCGCGTACACATCAACTTGGTCATAACGTGCATGGTAAAAAATATGAATATCATTTCTCTTCCAATGCTAAAATTGGTAAATCGACCACTAACTTATATGGAATTCAGGATCAATGTGCGTCCCAAGAATTATTCCCACGCGAAGATATTGATAAGGGTTGGGATTTGCATCCTGCTCTGGATAGTATGTCAACAGTCCCCGTTGAAATATAACAAATAGCCGTAAAGCGGCCTGATAACTTCGGAAGCTCAGATCATTATTATCAAATCAACCAAGTCCCAGCCTCTTCATTTTTGGTGTTTCGTATTACCGAATCGAACGTGGTGGCTGGGATGTTCAAGAGTCGAAGTAATCGCGCTTGACATGGCCCCGGGCATTAAATTCATGATATTGGCTCCGAAAAGCACATGACTGTCTTTTGCTGCGACTGTCTCCCGCTGCGTGTCCGTTAGGAAGTACATATGCGGTATCTGCACGTGCGGAAATTTATAACGTGCATCTTCAAGGGGACCCAAGCATTGAAGGGCCAATCATTCTAGCTCGCCTCAAAATTCGCATCCATATGCGGTATTGGACTCACAGTATATGACTTGTCTCTTTTCATCAATCAATTGGGTTGGCAGAAAATCGGTGATTGATTGCTCTGATCCATATTGTCGACGGCTCACCTTGTATAATCACAACTGCTTCCCTAGATTTTCCAATTAGGTCTGATGGTTGGGTGGTTGCGTGTTGTTTAGTTCAATCA